GTACTCGTCCCCGATCCTCTGCACCCGCAGACGCTCTGTCCCCGCGGGTCCCCCCTGCACCAGCGCCCCCAAACGGGCCCCGCCCATGGCGGCCGCCACCGCCCCCAGAACCGGCCGGGACCCCACCCGAACCTGCGGAGGGGACACGGGGACAGGGACAGGGGACATGGGGACACAGGGACACAGAGGACAAAGGGGACAGGGACAAGGGACATGGGGGACATGGGGACAGGGACACGGGGACAGGGACATGGACATGGGGGACAAAGGGACATGGAAAGGGACACAGAGGACACAGGGGACAAAGGGACATGGGGACATGGAGGACACAGGGCATGGAGGACACGGGGACACAGGTGACACAGGTGACACAGGTGAGAAAGGGACACCCAGGGGTGTGGCAAAGGATGGGCCACCCCCATACAAAAGCCACGCCCACCGAGCACCACACCCACAATGAGTCACACCCACATCAAGCCACGCCCTCATTGGCCACGCCCACACAGAGCAAAGCTCACACAGAGCAACAGCCACAGAGCCACGCCCACATAATCACACCCCATTGGCCACACCCCACATGGCCACACCCCACATGGCCCCACCCCCAAAGCCACGCCCACATATCCACACCCATTGGCCACACCCACACAGAGCCACGCCCACATCTCCATGTTCCCACCCCAGGCCCCACCCTCACCATGGCCCATCCCCCCCATCCCCCCCGGGACAGCCCAGGCCACGCCCACAAATGGCCCCACCCCCGATGGGCGGGGCAGTGCTTGGGGGCGGGGCCTCACCTGGCCCACCCCAGCGGGGGCGGGGCTGAGCGTCACCGTCATGGGGAAGGTCGGAGCGGTCATCTGGGGACACCAGTGACACCAGTGAGGGACACCAGTCACACCAGTGAGGGACACCAGTATGGTCCAGTGACACCAGTGACACCAGTGAGGCACACAGTGACACCAGTAAGGGACACCAGTGACACCAGTGACACCAGTGAGGCACACAGTGACACCAGTGAGGGACACCAGTATGGCCCAGTGACACCAGTGACACACCAGTGACGCCAGTGAGGGACACCAGTCACATCAGTAAGGGACACCAGTATGGTCCAGTGACACCAGTGACACCAGTAAGGGACACCAGTGACACCTTCAATTTTTCCCCAAACAGATCCCAGTCCCTCCCAGTCCCCCCCATTCCCATCCCAGCCCCTCCCAGTCCCATCCCAGTCCCCCCCATCCCCATTCCCAATCCCTCCCAGTCCCTCCCAGTCCCTCCCAATCCCCCCCATTCCCATTCCCAGTCCCTCCCAGTCCCTCCCAGTCCGTCCCAGTGCTCACCAGTCCCCGGGGGCGGTTGCAGAAGCGCTGTGGCACCAGTGGAAACGCCTCGTGGCCCAGTTCCCGCTGCAGCTGGGCCAACTGGGCAAACTGGGAGCGACGGCCACATCAATGAGAGGGTGACCCC